TCTTGGCTGCAGCTGGAATTATGAATTTTTTGTGGTGGGCAAAGATATCATGCATACATATATGGTGTTATGAATATTATTATATATGACATCACACATTTTATAGAAGTGCTCCTCCAATACACCAGAATTTCATACACTGGCATTTAAATGCTGCATTCCTCTAAGGTGATTAGAAGAGTGAAACCACTGCCATGCCTGGTTCTATGTGAGGGATTTTGAGAGGATGAAACTGTCTTGTATCCAAATTTAAATAAACTCTAGATTTTATACCCTAGACTAAATTTTTCACTTTTCTAAGCAATCTTGGTTTTAAAAGTGTGCCAGTAATTTGTAATAACTTCAGAAGAAGCAGTTTTTCACTTCTGCAGTGAATTCCTGCATACAGAAGTATGGGCTTTTAGCTTTTAACACTTACAGCTCCCTACACACCTTCCAGAAGAGCCCCAGGTGAATATGAGCCTGTCCCAGTGTATTGGTTTCATGGCTGCCTTGGAGGTGACATATGGACTCCTGGAATCCCATTGCTTACACACCAAGAACTATTGTGTGCAACTGGGGCCTGATCAACTTTTTTGGGTCACTTATGGGGACCTGAGGAGCAGAGTAACAAACCAGAATATGGCAAGTTGTATTTCCCTTACACAGGAGTGGTTAAAGCAGCCTGGAAGGTGGAGGGAGCCTGCAGTGTGTGGAGGTTGTTGACTGTGCAGCCAGCATGTGTCTAATCAGACTTAATAAATCTGACTCAGTGCAGGTATTGCCAGAGCTGATATGACTCCTGGAGAGCCTCTCTGCACAGTTCTGCAGCTTCCAGGAGGCTTTATTAGTCTGGACTCCATGCTGTGCACATCCAGAGCTGCTTCTGATCCAGCACTGGAGCTGATCTGTCCTGTGGCACGGGGTGATTATGGATCATCGTGCCCAGCGCTCCGGATTCCCGGAATACTTTGTGGGTCTTATGGGCTGTAAAACATCCAGTGCAAAATACCTGGGAGAGACTCAGCAGCTGCCTTCTCATCCAGCAGTCACAGGTCAAATAATCTGGAGCAGATCCTGCCTGGCTCTGTGCCCCAGATTCCATCCTGGCCCTGGCTGTACCTGGGGTGGTGCTGGGTGTGCACACACTCGTGCTGGTTGCAGGCTGGATGTGTTACCAGTGTGAGGGAAGAGGCCACTTCCAAGTTTTTATGTTGCAGTGTGCTGAGTCCCAGGTGGCATTCCCAGTTTGAACAATCCCAACGATTTAGCGTGACAAAATTTGTCTGATTTTGCTCACGAGAAAATGTAAATGGTAATTTTTTAATTCTAGTCCACTGTTCAGATTCACAAAGACATGTCCTTCCTTCATGGTATAGCCAGCTACAGTTGTAAAAGTGACTCTGATTTAAATTCAATTTCCAGGTATCATATATTTTTATTTCTATTTCAAGTCACTAATTTAAAATCAGGAATATCTATATTTTTTGATAAAGTGCAGTCCCAAGAGCAACGTCCACAAAATCATTTTACAGGATTTTAGCTCATTTCGTGTATGAACTTTTTGCAGACCATTTTTGTTTCACTGTTGTAATATAAGGCTTCACCATTTCCAAGGTGCTTGTTGTGAAATGAGAAATACTGCTGTGATTAAAATTGAATACCTGACAGGATTAAGATTTAGGCAATAATGTGATGGTGAAAAGCTATTGTTAGCAGGTATTGTTAGGCTCGTGTTAGGAACTATCCCACTGCATTTCATCTGTGTTTGGCACTTCTTTGTCAAACTGGAGGAAACTGCTTATAAATGACCATTCAGAGCATTTGGTCTTTTCATTAAATAATCTTTGTCTATGTCTCTTTTTTTGGAATTTAAAAACATCCTGTCTGGTACTTTGATACTTTGGTATTGAGGACTTTCTTAATGGCCTTTCTCTCAAGCCCAGGAAGAGAAATAAGAGGTGTAACTGGGATTTTTTTTTTTTTCCTAGGCTATTGATGGCTTTCTGGCACATAATAAATATAAATAAGCATGTTAGATGTATCCTATGGCAAGTATGTCTAAGTTTCTGTGAGGTGATCTAGTCTTATATTTTGGTTATTTACAACTGTAATACAGTAAGTGATGTGCAAAAGAAACAAACACCTGTTCATTCTCTGAGTTCCCCTAAGAATCCAACTATGAATCAAATGGCTTTTGGCAGAAATTTCAACTTGAAATAAATCTTAGGAAGTGGTGGAAGGTCTTCTGGAGAATCCCGTAGCTTAAATGAGGACATCAGTAGCCATTGCCTCTTCAAGTGTTTCTTGTTACCTTAATTTGCTTTGTTATAACTTAGTCACACAGCTTTGCCTTAGAGCTTCAAACTCTGGTTTTGGGCAGAAATGTTGTGTACCCACAGTGTGTGGAGGATGTACCATGTGCAGGAGCACTAACCAGGACTGCTGGGTTATTTTGAAAATCAAGTTTATGTGAGTTAAAACAAAGCAAGGATGTCCTCAACTTATTGACTTTGACACACAGGTTCAGTTTGCTCACTGCTGCAGTGTGAAAAGACCTTAATTTATAACAATATAATGTGAAAAATATTAAATAAATTTAGACCCATATGAAAATTTTAGTGCTAGTGAAGAGCAGGTCCCAATGTGAGCTTTGTAAAAGTGTCCTTGTGTGGACTTTACTTCATGTAAGGTTTGAAGGAAAATCAATACTTATGCCTGGATGAAATCTTGAAATACTTAGGACAATTTAGAAGGGCAGCTGAGAATTTGTTCCATCACAGGTAGGTTAGTGTTGGGCCATATAAACAATAGGAAATAATTTAAATGTTTAATCTTCTGGATTGATATGATTGTAAGTTAGGGAAAAAGAATTTGATGTTAGGGGTTTTTTTTTTCTGTAAGTTATTCATGTCACTGCAAGTTGTAAATGTTTGACTTCTCAGGTTGCAAACTTTCTAACCTTGAGAATACAATTTTTTGTTAGTATGGATATTGTCTGCTTGTTGGTGTGAAACCTCCTGTTCTAGAAAGTTAATCTGATTTTCATTAGTTTCTTTGGCTTAAAACAACAAGGACAAACTCAGCAGAGAAAAGAATATTCTTAAAACATATTCCTTGGATCTGAGATAAGTCAGATGACTTTGGGTTGGCAGTGGGTAATTGTGTGTACATTGTGAGATCCGAAATGACAGTCAGCCACAGGAATAAATATTGGACAATGTGTGGAACAGATTCATTTCACTGATAGTAGCTTTCATTCTGATTGATAAATAAGTTGAATGTGTTGAGTGTTTCTCAATAACTGGTGGTAGTCTTGGTGAATGAGGGTGGAGTTGAGGAGTGCTAAGCCCTACATTATCATAAGTATTTTTCTTCCTTATGTTTCTCTAGAAGATAAACATGCTTAGCTGAAGTAATGAGTTTGATGAGGGTTAAGTAGCACATTACCATCAAACTTGAATTAAATAAGATGAAGATTAAGTTTATTTAGGTATAAAATTGTGAAATGTCACATGGATGTAAGCAAATCCAGTTTTACATCTTCCCATTTCCTTTCCCAAATGCAAACTAGTGCTTAGTATCTCTCATGTTCTTGTTTAGTGTTTTATTTACTGTTTTCTTCATTTATCTCAGCAGTGAAATTGGGGAGTTGGTAAAAGCACTAGGAAATAACCCATATTTGTCTCTGCTGAAGGCAGCATGTGGTGTGTGTGATGCAGAGGCTCTGGGAGCAGGATTGCAGGAGCAGCCTTTGATCTGTTCTAGGTGTCAGAAAGAGAAGTTAATACTCCTCTTTCCTCCCATCACCCCTTTATCTTGCAAGACACATTCATATGGTAGCCATGTGAAATCTCTGCCATACAAAACCCCACAACATTGGTTTGATCTCTGAGGAAGGGCTTTCAGTTCCAAAAATTCTTGAATTCTGATAGTGAGATTACTCAGTGTGCAGGAAAACTGGAAACCAGATATTGAGTGCAAAGTAGCAGTAGATTTATGAAAGTTCCAGGTGTCTTTTGGAGATCAAAACTTCAGCAAAAAAATAGATCTGCTCTCCAAGTTAACTTGTCAGGTAGATGGGGAGCAAAGGGGGCATAAAGACAGGCTCATAAATGAACTTACAGGACGCAGCTTCCTGTTTAGAACAGGGAGTTGGGTGTGATTAGTTCAGGTCAACTTCATTAGGATAAAGCAAGAGACTGTTTTTATTGTCAAACAACAGAAAAAGGATTGCAGAAAAAGATTGTGTCTTACAAGTAGAACTGCTTTTGGATTTCACGGGGCTGTCACGCCTTTCAAGGAGAGGAGGCTCCTGCTTTTTATAGCTACTAGGCTGGAATAGCTTGTAACAGTTGTTTTCTGAAAACTGGCAAGTTGTCATCGGTGTAAAACTTTGAGTAAAAGGGACTGATGTATAAACATTAATCTGTTCTCTAAAATGTTCCTGGAAGAATCTTCCAGATTAATATTCTATTTCAAGTCACCGTGTAGTGGTCTGGTTACCCATATGTTCTTGTGTTCTACAAGAGTGCTCCTGTTTGCAAAGTGAAGTTTCAAGGAACTTCTTCAAAAAAAAAGAATAATAATTGTTTATACTGTAGAAATAACAACCAAACTGGGAATAATCTTGGTTGGTTAAGGTACTGTTTTTCTGTGCCTGTATTTTTAGAAGGAGAGAGAGAAAATCCGGATACCTGCTGGTAGCTGTTCCTAGAGCAGTGTGAGCTGAGTGTGTGATTCACGGGCATCCAGAGGGAAACTGAAAAAATATATTTGTGTACTTATCCATATGAAAACATTCAGACTTTGTGGTGACTGTTCCTTGACTCTGTAACTCAGAGATGTAGGCAGGCGATCTGCAGGTGACACAATCACTTTGGCTCCTGTGTGAGTGATATGCACAATGCATCCTGTGCAGAGTTCATAGCATGTACAATGTGAGCTTCAGGTTTACTTAATAAACTTCTTAAACTGGAAGATAATCTAATGGTTTTTTTATTCTAATTGTTATTGTTTAGGCGTTTGAACAAGAATAAATTGCAAGTCCTTCCAGAGCTGCTTTTTCAGAACACACAGAAGTTAACTAGACTGTAAGTATAATCTGATTTATTTTTCTATTGTGTGTCCCTTGCTTTACAGATTTCCATGGTTGTGTTTTGACTGTAGTGAGAGGTTTAATTTCTCTGATATTAAACTGCTAGTTGGTAAGGGTTTTTTAAGGGGTGCATTTCCATGTGTGGATATTGGATAGAGCATAAATATCAGAGGGAAGAGAAACCACAAAATTTTTCTGTTTCTCGTATATTCACCATGATGACATGAAGGTGACTTATTTTCAGCTCTCTATGTAGGCTTACAGAAACCATGAAATGTGGCAGCTTCTCGTATGCAGTACAGTCGAGATGTCCACAAAGAGAGACTACATATTCTTATTTAAAAATAATACACAGTTAGATTTTTTTTTAGCTTAAAAAATTATCTTATTTTTTAATTAAGTCAAGGTATTGTCAGGCAGACCAGCCAAGTTCTGGCTGTTGCCTTGTCAGTCAGGAAGATGAGGAAGTATGGAGAGGTAAAGAATTTTTCTTTCCTTGAAATATAAAAACTGTGCTATAAGATGATTAGATGGTATCATGTCAACAACAGAGAAGTCTAACATGAGCCTGGAATTATTTCTTTTTGGTGGGAGGAGGGAGGGGTGGTGTTAGCACAATGGCTGGATGATTTTTTTTTTAATATGTTCTTAAAAAGTGCATGAAAATAAAATGGATGATGAGGTGCCTGCACAGTTACTTATCAAGAAAAGAATCATCTGCCTTTCTAAAGGAGTTACCAAAAGCTGCTTGAAACTGGTTTTTGGATCCTGACAAAGTTAAACTCACGATCCACACTGGCTTTTTGAAAGATGTTCTAGATGATAAAACTGTTCTTTTAATGCTTGGGTTTGTTTATGGAAGGTCAGATACTAAGATTTGTGATTTGGTCAGTGAAATTGTGATGTTACTACTTGTTGTTGGTTGAAAAGTTGCTCCGTTCATGTGGAGTTTTCATAAGTGTTTAAATACCTTGATCTGCAACCAAACCAACCATTTGGGCAGTGCAGTAAATTTTTCTTCCTGTGGACATACAAACCACACGTGGTGATAGTGCAGATTAATTTTGGAATCATGACTGTTTAAAGAGGCAAGTTTGGAGAGCGTTGTGCAGCGAGTGATATTGATAGTTTGGAGAATTTCTGTAATGAACTTTTGGTGTTGTCCAAACTTGCTCATGAAAAGCTGTACAAGTAATTCAAAGACATTGTTCTGCAGATTAAAAAAAGGTATAAAACCATCAATAATTATAAGCTATAGCTGTCTTTTAGTCTTAAAATCATTGCAAAATCTTTGTTGGACTTGTTTTGCAAGCTTTGTCGTGACTATTGAATGCCCGAGAATATATTTGCTCGGGCTGAACAATTGTGTTGTATTTCCTGAAGTTCTTTGCATGGTTTTGAAGTGTTGTATCTTGGAACTCCTCTTGAGTGTAACATTGAGCTGGTACTTGCAGATATCTTTGTCTGTTCTCTGGAAGGTGCCAATTGTATTTATTTCTTGGAAGAGCTGGTTCATGTGGGTTGGTTGTCTGTGGAAATGGTGATGCTTTCGAGATAAAAAACTTTTAGAGAGTTTACCTGTATCACTACACATTGCAGTTTAACATGTTGAAAATCCCTTTGAGTGGTCACATTGTATGTGGCTGTCATGAGACTGAAAGAACTTTCTGGTAGTTTGTGGTTTGGTGGAAGGCGGGGTGTGTTGATAGCTTGTGCCTCGCACAAAGAAACAAACAGAAAATAGCAGAGGTTTTGCAATACCAGAGAGTGTATTTTTTAGTAGATCATACAATCATGATACATGATAGTCCTTAACAGCAAGGAAAATGGTTTTGCTTTTAGAATATGAAGATTGTAATAAAATTACACAGACTAGAATGATTAATCTGAATGCTGTGTTCTGTAATGCCTCCCAACGGATGCTGTCGGAACATTTGTCTTTATTCACTGACATTCACTCAAAGTCTTGCTTACTGTTTAATAGTGCATTAGATAGATCACTTTAACACTGTTTGTCAGAAGAAACTTGCTTTTTCTTTTGAAGATACAAGTGTTATATAAATACAGTGTGCATTTTAAGTAAATAAATCTTAGCTAAGTGAACTCGCAGAGTCCCAAGTGTGGTTTGGTTTTATGTTTTGCAGTCATGGGATGAGAATGAGAATTTTTTTCCTACTATAACTTGTAAAAATACACACACTCACACATATATATGGTTGCTATTATTTTGTGTTACTGTCATGGTCCTGCTGCTGGAGAATCAGAGTTGTTCTTTCTGTTACGAAGTGTCTGAAATTCAGCAGTGCCACTCTGTTCACAAATGAGTAAAATGCTCCAGTGAAGAGGTTTGGTGCTTACATTCCTCTCCCAGCTGCTCTGCCCCAGCCTTTCAAGAAGAAAGCATAGCTGAGAAAGTGATGAAAGGGAATAAAAGTAGTGAAACCAAGACAGACTGATGCAGAGGTGATGGAGATTTTGTGGGATTTATGAGGAGTGAATGAAAATGAACATTAAAAAGTCTAGATGATACTGATCTTAATTTTAACTGTCCATGCTAAAGCTGTATTATTTCTGCGGATGTATTTTCAAACTCTTGATTATGGGTTACTATTAGTCCATTATTTTATTCTTAATAATTATAATCTTCATAAAGTAGAAAGTCTAAAATTGAGTATTTTAACTGTGTAAGCTTGCTACACCTCAAATGATGCAAAATGTTAGGAACTAAATATTACTGTGCAATGTGTCCAAACTGTAAATTTTGGATAGTCTTGTCCACATGGACATGTAGGAAATAGAGATGAATTCTGTGATTCTTACAGCTGCTTTCCTCAGCAGGATTACAGTGAATGTAACACCCCAGAGATTTGTTAATGAAATACAAGTTTGATTTGATTTTATTTTTTAAAACTAAACAGAAAGATGATAGTTTAACTTTGGTAACTTGATAAGAGTGTAAAAGTTGAGCATATTTATTAGCATGAATAGAAATTGGTGGAGATGGAGTGACTGACCTGCTTAAGCATGCAGGAATTCTGTGTGCTGGAGGATTTCAAGGAAGACCTGTTAATGTTTCAGGAGTAGTTAAGGGTTGCAAAACTAACTGAAGACTTTTCTCAGTGTTCTGTCAGCTGGGCTGAAATCTCCCTTGGGGTTTTTTGGAGGAACCAACTTTATTTATGTAGTTCAGTAGCAGTAGAACCTCTTCAGCCTTGTTGCTGCTGGAAATCACAGCGTAGGACACAGTTTCTTGTCAGTGATGTGCTTGAAAAAGCTGGAGAACAAACCTGTTTGGTTCTTGTGCTGTTTCATACACACAGAGTTTGGAAGAGCAGTGCTGGTGTCCCTGATGGTTTCCTTCTGTGCCACCAGAGTATCCTTGGCTCAGGGCACGGGGCGTTTCCACTGAAATGCAGCCTTTCTGGTAACTAATGAATTTGAATTCAGATTTCTACTCAGACTATAACTGCTCCCTCAACCTTCACTTCACCTCCAGGTACCTTTGCCTATTTTCTCCAAGCCTCTCCCAAAATGCTGAGCTTCAGGATATCCTTGTATCTTTTACAGTGCTGGACAGACTCCGTTGTCACATCTGGTTGTTATTAGAAGCAGGAATATATATAGTGAAATAAACCTTAAGTGGAATGTGAAATGTCCCACAAAATGAGTTTCTCATAAGGTTTTTGAGCCTTTTCTTCTAGAAAGATTTGGCTTGGAGACTCGTGGATTTTGTTTGCTTTGGTTTAGATAAGAGTTTTAAGTTTAAGTTGGATGAACCCTTGATTGGGTTCTCTGGTGGAAATGTTTCTCATTGTTCTGTTGCCTTGACTGCCTGGGTTTTAAAGCTTCTTAACTGTTTTATCTGGGATAATTATCTAATAATTCAAACTGCAGGCACTTTTAATGAGAAATCTGGATCAAGGAAAAGGCATTTTTAATAAATTGAGTATTAGAAACAGGAAAGATATTTTTTAATAGTTTCAGATATTTACTGATATTTAACCATAAAGTAGAAGGTATTATTAATACAAGTGATGAGAACATATAGTAAAATGAAACATGTTATTTAACAGCTATAAACCCAGGTATTGATTCCAAGGTAATTACTTTCTAATATCCAAAACAACCAATGAAATTTGTTAGCCAAGTTTGTAAACAAAGCTTTGTGAGTGCTGGAATCCTGTGTATCCTTTGTGTGCACAGCTGGTGTATAAAATGATTGTAGTGCATCTGCTTTTCACTAAAAAGCAAGGATGCTAGTGGTCCGAGATACTAATTTATCTTAAAAAACAAAACAAAAGGGGAAAACAGGCCCATTCCCCCACAAACACCCTGTCACGTAGGAATATATTGATTTCTCTGTTGAAGCCTCCTTACCTCAACCAGCTGCTAAGTAGTCAAGGTAAAGCTCCTTTGTGTGGGTGAAAAGAACCTCTTAGAAGTGCTCTAAACTCAAGTCTTGTAGTGATGCCTCTATGAATTTATAGCCACGGACCATTTGGTGGGTCTATTCACTTTTAATGAGCTGTCTTAGTTGTCACTTGACTAAATAAACCAGGCTCTGGAGACTTAGATACTGTGATTTGATACCAGAAGTATCAGGTTCATGGAAGCATCCATTAGGCTCTGAAATTGTTTACTTTTTAGGGTAGTATCAGAATTCAGATTTCATATCAAGGCTGGACGTTGTAGTGTGGGAGCAGAGCCCTGTGATCCTGAACTCTGAGACAAAACAGGTTCATGGCTGTGTGTCCGTAATACCTTTAAAATCTCATGGTGCTTAAACTTTCTAGTTATGGTGTCCTAATGTTTTATCATGTTCATCTCTAATTATTACCGAAGTAGGAAGATGAACAAAATGGAGATGTAGATGAGTTATTTGTTCCAGTAAAATGGGATGGTCTCTTAGTATCAGGTACAACCACTGTGTAATAAGTTGCTTGTTGTTAACACAATGTCAATATTTGTAGCACTGTGAGATTTGTCAAAGCTGGA